AACACTCTTCTAATCCAAAGATACGTAACACTTCAGTGATTCAAGAAATGACGAGTAGAACACTCTTCTAATCCAAAGATACGTAACACTTCAGTGATTCAAGAAATGACGAGTAGAACACTCTTCTAATCCAAAGATATGTAACATTTCAGTGATGCAATATACGCTTGTTAGTTTATCATCAGAAATAGGTATTTCTGAAAAACAATAATGTGTACATAAATATCTAAGTTAATAACAATAGAGGGATGCTTTCATAGATTTTATTCTTAAAATTAATTACCGATGTTTCGTAATGAGTTTCTGAAATTGTTATGCCTTTTTTTCATATAGAGAATTTGAAAGAGTAATATAACGAGAATTGGACAATTTTTAAAATTGGCTTTTAAGAAACATTTATACAAGCGCTTTCATGTCTAACACTCATTAATCGAAAGTTTAAATGTAAACGATTATGCTTTTCAAATAAGACCACACCCCCGATGACTGAGCAATGAGTTTCAGTGTTTATAACGCTAAAATTCTGGGATCGATCGTCGCTGTGAGCGCCACACTGACAAGTTATTTTTGCAGCTTTGAACCAAATAAACTATAACTACTTTACAAATCAAGTCTGAATAGTTAACTGTTTGTAGATTTTAATGGTTTACATTAAATAATTCGTAAGAAGGTTTTTTTATATTTTACCATCGTTTTTTTTCCATAAGAATATTAAAATCTTCTTAATCTTTTTGGTTTTTCCGTTTTGAAGTTCAAATAAATGTGTGTAGTTTAGATAACATTGCGTTGCTTTAACACAAGAGCTCATTCAAGGCCAATCCTTTTGTGTGTTTTTTCTGTTACCACCATGTCTTATTTTGTCTGCTATTATAGCTCTATACTGTACTTGTTTTAAATACAAGTCACAAATAACGAACTTTTCTACATCTCGCATAAATACTGACAATAAAGAATCACAACAACCTAACATTTGAAATATTGGTTAAATTGCCCATAAAGTTATCTATTACATATTCTACAAACTTATGTATACGTATTACACACGTATACTATATGTATATCGAGAGTGCGCTGTATAGGGATGGCACGTACACCCGTATTAAAACAATATAAAAGTCATCTGGGTTTTATCTCTACAGATCATCAGAAGCTAGATATGAAGAGTTACCTGGCATAGTCGCTCCATCTCTAGTGTTTTTACCGCGTTTCAGCTATCCAGAGCATCCCAAAGTCGTAAACCGGCGAATAGCCAAAACCGAGATTTCTTAATTTCGTTCATCATCATCCTTCAACAGGCCTAGCACCTACCTAGTTCTAGCAGTAACTATACTTTTTATCATAATTTGATAGAGTAAAACAGTCTTCACGATCTTTGACTATCTATTTTGTTATTATTTTATGGACAATATAAAAAAATAAAAATCATAATTCTAGGGTAAACAATGTTATTACCCCTTGGAGTTAGCTTTCTTACAGTAATGTGATGTTCCTTTAAAACGTTTAAGTACAGGGTGGAACAGTAATTACCAGCCAATAATAACTGAAAAGTAGTTTATTGTAACATGTAAATACTCAATGCTTTGTACACCATACAGTGGGTATCTTTAGGGAGCCAACCCTATATTATGTATATGTATCAAATGAAGGAGTAAACAAATCAATATACATACAGATCATTAGAAGCTAGATATGAAGAGTTACGTGGTATAGTCGCTCTAACTCCGGTGTATATGCTGATTTTCAGCTATCCATAGTCCCAAAATCGAAAATTGGCGAATAGCCAAAATCGCCAAAAACAAGATTTCTTATAATCGTTCAGCATCATATTTCATCAACAGGCCTAGCGCCTACCTAGTTCTAGCAGTAACTATAATTTTATCATCATTTGATAGAGCAAAACAGTCTTCACGATCTTTGACTAGCTATTTTATTATTATTTTATGCAAAACTTATAAAGATTTTGAATATAACCTAGTAACCTACGTAAGCCATTTTATAAAAAAGTATTAGGAAAAAAATTATCGCTAAATAAATAAGCTATGTAGGGCTGGCTACTGAACTTGAAGAGAAGAACCAAACAATATAGGGATGAAAGTGGACATATCACTTGATCCGGCTAATGATCACATAGCAGTCTAAGCCGCCCCGACTTTCCATGGAGAATAAAATATCTACATTATTGGTTTCCTCACTGGCAAAAGAAATAGATCCAAAATTTCCAATTGTAAAATGTTACCTTATCGTAAAATAATAATAAAGGTAGTATTATAAAGGTAACTAAAGGAAAGGTATAATGATGAAAACTAAGATTTTATTCAAACACCAAGCTGACACAGTTTGAAAGTTATACGTACGTTAGTAGAAAATTGAAAAATGAACAAAAAGATACGTAAGTCTATTCAAATCACCAGTCTGTGATTGAACAGTATACTAAGGTAATGCTGATATATATATATATATTATAAAGTTGAACCAGAAATCTACACATGACAGAGTAGTTTTACGAAACTAATCTCTGTAGCTTTATATTACACAAGTCGTTGATTAAACTTTATGGTAAGTTACAAAAACGGTTTCATATTTTATAAAATATTTAGGTTTTTACTAGCAGGAGGACTATCAATAAACCTCAACCTAAAATATATAATTTTACTCGAACCTTAGGATTAGTTGTCATAAAAATACAAAATTGTTCGCTCTGGAGATTGGTAAATAAATACAATATATATATGTAATTTCAATAAACAAAATATTTCACACATTGAATACCAACGAAGTAATTACTTTTTATGAAGAGATTGGTTAGTCTATAGGCGTACGACGTTTAGAACATTTATGTAAACTTATCTCTTTAATCCTCATGACAGAATAGCTGAGGAGAAATATTAACAGATATCACACATTGGAAATTCATAAAAGTATTATTTTTACTACTGGAAACTAGTAAGAGTTACTATATAGCTTTTGTTATTGTATTTCGTTTCTAACAAATTGAAAAAAAAGAAAACCATCAGAGTCAGTCGTTGATGAGGAAACACCAAATTCTGTTACCTTCTTTCACTTAAATAAAGTTGTTTCACAAGAACAATCCTTAAAATATTGAAATTTACATTTGTGTAACGATCGAGTTCTCGGTTTACTTTCGGATTAATTAAAAACACTTAGCATTTGACCATTAAAGTCAATTCATAATGGCTCTGTGATGATTTAAGTTTCACATAAAATAGTTTTGTTTGCTGGATAAGTTTTGGTTTTTATCACAAAGCAAAATGGAATAAAATTTTCAAACAAGCATGAGTTTTAATTTAGGGATTTGGTGATGTTTCCAAATCAATTTTGCTTATTCTAGAGTTATGCATACAGCAACAATACGCATCGGTATGAAAAGGATTTGAGAGATAAGTTGCTTTCTTCCATGAAATACACGGATAAAATGTATCGTATGAAAAATTAACTGAGGGAAAAAGTATCTTATTTGTAAATAAACTGAACACACCAAATAAGAAAACATTTAACCAAAAATTGTTTTTATTAAAATAACAAATCTAAAACTGGCACTGTTTCAAAGTTAGACGTCCGTTTGTAGAAGATGGGAACATTACCAAGTTTGTGATTGAACATACACTGAGTGGTCACAAGTAATTAGACACCCAATTTTTCGTCATTCAACTGATTTATGCTAACTAATTTGTGTTCACAGAGCACTATAT